CCCCCTCCTGTGGGCGGATGTTATCGTCAGCCTACGCTGGCTGGTGGCCAGTGTATAGCTGCTCCCCTGTCCCCGCTGGCGCTTCACTCACATACCTGCTCTTGGGCCCATCTCTCCGGGGTGCACACAGGGAGCGATCGCCGCTCCCTCCGCCCTGCCTGGCCAGGCCAGACGAGCCAAGCCCTTGGAGTCTCCTCTCAGAGGGGAGGTTTCCATCCCGCAGATCATCTAGTGCCTTTCTCTGCACCCGGCCCAGCCTGCATTCATCCCTCTGGAAGCTGGGAGACCGGAACTGCAGGTGCGGCCTCCCCAGTGCCTCGGCCAAGGGTAGGAACCTTTCCCAGCCGCCCTGGAAGTAGCTCTCCTGAGAACTGCGTTAGCCTCTTTCATGGCCACATCACGTTGGCGGCTCATAGGCAACCTGTGAATGCCTGAGTGCCCCAGATCAGTCCCTGCCAACTGACAAGGCCCCCGCCTGCTCACTTGCCGTCTGGAAGGAAAGGGTTACTGTGTGGTTGTACAGTCACAGAGCCTGGGGTGGGAAAGGCCAGTTGCCCTGGGAAGACTCTAGTGATCCCCTACCAGCACAAGATTGTTCACTGTGACCATGATCTTAGATTTTCATTGCTGTAACCGTCATCCCAAAGCAGCCCACAATGCCTTACGGCCCCTCCGCCAGGGACCACGCACCTCCCGTGGCATGAAACGGAGCCACTGTGTTCCAAAGTGACGTGACCCCACTCAGCATCTGACAAGGGCCAAACATGCCACCCTGGGCTCAGCTCATTCTGCGCCTCTGAACCCACAGAAGAGCAAAGGAGAAGCTCACATCACAAGAGCTATAGCGCCCAGAGCAAACGACTGAGAGTCGCTTTGGTGCGTTCCTTCCCAGCACTCCCTGAAGCTAGATTTATGTCTAAAACATGCAGACACAAGAGCAGCCAAGAGCGAACATTTGAAAACAGCATCATGCAATTCAAGTGCAACAAGATCAGAAAAGGAGTTTGGAGGAAGACTGCTGATGCTGTGACTTGGCAGAGGCTGCTGGAACAGGCACTAATTGCCGTGGATACTCTGCTTTCGGGGTCACATTCGCCTCTCCAATCTGCTTGTTCCTGTCTTGTCCACAATGTGGATTTCAGATCTACTGCATATTTGGAACTCCTCTGCGGGCATAGGCAGCCCGTGAACCCTCGGCCAGGGAAATTTGCCCCCGCTCCATCCCTTCTGCCCAAAGCCCGCTCCCTACCTTGGCCCTTCCCCCATCACCCCCACCCCATGGAGCTGAGTGCCCGCTCCATCCCTTCTGCCCAAAACCCGCTCCCTACCTTGGCCCTTCCCCCATCACCCCCACCCCACGGAGCTGAGTCCTCCAGCGCAGTCAGACGAGTCCCACCCCAGCCACTCTATCCCATCCATCCCGCTCCAGGCATTAGCCCATCCACCTGCCCCACCCCGCCCGCCCTAGTCCTAGCTTGCTTGGGGGGAGAGGCTGAACGAGGGCGGAAAGAGGAGCAGCATGCACAGAGCCATGGGGGAGGTAAAGGGGCAAGGCCTTGGGGTGGGGCCTGGTTGTTTGGGCAGACTTAGCCCTCGCTGGCCTATGATCCCTGCTCTCGTGCTTGCCTGTGCAACTTCCACGGATGCCAGCTGTGCTTCTGCACTGAGTCGGTGCAGCGCCCGGCAGTGCGGATAGGAGCCAGGCTGTACACAGTGCTGCGGAAAGACAGGACTTTCCTTTACCTGCAGAGACTTTAACCCCTGCTTGCTGGTGGCAATACTTTCCCTCGTGCTGATGAGGCTCCCTGCATATTACCACAGCCAAAGCTTGGCACTGTTAGCAGCAGCCTTGCGCACTGAGGCCATCAGTCTAGGCATGTGCCCCTTACCTGCGGGGCTGAGCCAAGCCTTTGCAAGCACACACACCCATTGAAAAGGAACGAGACTGGTACCTTTAAATCACTGCTCTCTGCCTCCCGCAGCTGCTTCAACCTGAAGTCCCCCTCGCACGGGTTCAGGGCAGAGGGGGGAGCCACGCAGGCACACTTGCAGGCTGGCCCTGAGGTGATGGTTTCAACGGTGTAAAAGTCCTCTGCTTTGGAGTTGCCTTCATTAATCCTTTGGCAGGCGCCTCGGCCCAGGGGTCTGACCAGACACTTGCACTGACAGTCGGAGCCTTCAGACACTGCTTTCACCTTGTCATAGTCACCTAGCAACTGATCACAAGAAAATCACAATGCAGCAGTTTGCGCCTGACACTGTTTTACTTGGTGTTTGCTTTGCCCCGTTTTTGAGAAAGGCGCAGACACGGTGACCCTTGCAGGAATAGGTCACTGCTTACACAAATCGCTGACGCCAACATTTCCTTGGGAGTGCTTGGTTTTTTGCTCCTTAGCTATTTGGGAAAGAGGTATTTGTGGTGGGGTATTTCCTTTCACCACTGAAAAAGGAATGCTCCAACCCAAACAGTCCTAAACCGCGTGGTTTAAACAAAGGGGTAAAGGGTATATTAAAGGGACCCGCGCCGACATACAATACACTGGTTCTGTCTACATTAATCCACCAAACTCCTTGCAACTACAGAAAAGGTGCCTGGCTTGGGTGGTGGGTTTTAGGAGTAAAGGGAGTCAATTTGTGGCCTGGACTAGTGCAGGAGTGGAGGCCGAACACTTCCTGGTAATATATCATACCCACGAGTCCTACAATTCCATGGGTTTCCTTTTGGGGGGTCACAGAAATCAGACATGAAACTGAAGTTCACAAGACTCCACAGCACGTTTCAAGATTCATCTGAGCCACTTCCAGGGATCCTGCTGCTGCACAGACCATCTGCCAGCTCCCGCCGAGAGCGCCCCTGCGCTTCGCTCTCCTCCACCGGCACTTTTCCCCAGACGAGGCGGGGGAGGAAGAGCCCTCGACTGGAGCAGCTGCTGCCGGAGAGGGAGCCGCGTTCCAGGTCCCTCAGGCCTGACACGCGGCTCGTGGAAGCTGGAGCGCCGGCCTGTCCCCCAGCAGAAGCTGGTCCCTCTCGAGAGTGACCGCACCTCGCCTGGCTGGTCCCGGGGCCGGCAGGCTGCGAGCGCGTCTCCCCCGCC